AAAAACGTGGAACCAATCGTGCTGCTCATTGAAAGAGGACTGGCTTTTTAAAAATGTGATACATATACACAATGTAATATCATAAAGAAGGACAAAATTATGAACTTCGCAGCAACTTGGATAGACTTAGAGACTGTAATACGGAGTGATCCATCACAGAAGCAAAGGAGCAAGTTTCACATGTTCTTACTCATGAGCGGACCTTGAACAACTATCATAATACTGTAAGAAAGGGAGTGGCAGTAGTGGAAACTGCCAGAGAAAGGCAGGGTCAGGATTGGCAGTAGTGGGAAACTGCTGTGGGAAGGGGCACCACATCTCATCAACAAGGGTACCTGCATAATGGATATTTGTATATCTATCCCTGAATTGTACCCCACATATTTAAAATAAAAAATTTTTAAAAGAAAGAACGTACTTGGTGGATTTTAACTGGTAAAACTGAAACTTCATTTTACTGTTTACATTGGGCTTTGGTTTGCTTACGTAGGAACTCAAGGTGCTGGAGCCATCTCAGCCTAATGGCCTCTCAATTAATTATTTTAACACACTCAGAAAAGAATGAGAACATTATTTGAGTAAGTTAAAGCCTGAAATGACTAGGAAAATCTGAAATGACTATGTATAATCTTATACTTACAATTTACTATAATTAACTATCATATGTGTCTTAGGGTCCTCCAGAGAAACAGAACTAACAGGAGATATATTGATATCTTGAAAATTTATTATGAGAGATTGGCTTACTCGATTATGGAGGTTGAAAAGTCCCATGATCTACAGTCTGCAAGCTGGAGGCCCAGGAAAGCTGGTGGTGTCATTCCAATCCAAGCCCAAAGGCCTGGGAACCAATTATGCCAGTTCCAATCCATGTGTGAAGACCCAAGAACCAGGAGTTCCAATGTCTGAGGGCAGGGGGAAATGGATGTCTTAGCTCAAGAAGAGAGCAAATTCTCTCTTTCTCTACCTTTTTGTTCTATTTGGGCCTTCAATGGATTGAATGATGCCTATCAGCACTGGTAAAGGCAATCTTTACTCAGTCTATTGATTCAAATGCTAATCTCTTCCAGAAATACCTTCAGAGACACACCCAGAAATGTTTTACCAGCTCTCTGGACTTCCCTTAGCCCAGTCAAACTGACACATAAATTTGACCATCACATCATAATTTACCAAAATTACCACACTAAAAGATTAAAAGAAAAAAAGAGCATCTCAAAAGATACAGAAGGCTAGGTGCAGTGGCTCATGCCTGTAATCCCAGCACTTTGGGAGGCTGAGGCAAGACAATTGCTTGAGTCTAGGAGCTCAAGCCCAGCAGGCAACATAGCAAGACCTCATCTCTACAAAAATAAAAAATAAAAAAATTAACTGGATGTGGTGACACATGCTATAGTCTCAGTTACTCTGGAGATTGAGAAGGAAGTATTGCTTGAGCCCAGGAGTTTGAGGCTGTGCCTGGGCAACAGAGGGAAACCTCGACTCAAGAAAAACAACAAAAAAAGAGATATAGAAAACACTGTTGGCCGGGCATAGTGGCTTAAGCCTATAATCCCAGCACCTTGAGAGGCTGAGGCAAGAGGACTGCCTGAGCCCCCGAGTTCAAGACCTGTCTGAGCAACATGATGAGACCTTGTCTCTACAATAAATAAAAAAATTAGCTGGGCATGGTAGCGCACTTCTGTAGTTTTGGCTACTTGGAAGGCTGAGGCAGAAGTATCGCCTGAGCCCAGCAAGTTGAGGTTGCGGTGACTGGTAGCGTGCCACTGCACTCCAGCCTGGGCAACAGAGTGAGACTCCAACTCAAAAAAAAGAGAACATTGTTAAATAAAACCTAACATCCATTTATAATCAGTGAATTTATAATAAAGATCAGTGAATTTTAATCATTTATAATCTTAGTGAAGTAGGATAGAAATGAACTTCTTAACCAAAAAAATGGATAGAACAACAACAAAAATCCAACATGAAAACAAAAAACAAAACCCTACAGCAAATATCAAACTCTTTTTTTTTTTTTAAGTAGGAGTCTCACTCTGTTGCCCAGGGTGGAGTACAGTGGCATGCTCATGGCCACCGCAGCCTCGACCTTCTGGACTCACATGATCCTTCCACCTCAGCCTTCCAAGTAGCTGGAACTATAGGCCACCACAGACGACTAATTTTTTTTATTTATTGTAGAGATGAAATCTCACCAAGTTGCCCAGGCTGGTCTCAAACCTGTGGGCTCAGGCAATCCTCTTGCCTCGACCTCCCAAAGTGCTGGGATTATAGGCATGAGCCACTGTGCCTGGTCCAAACTTTTAAAATTGGGTATATGACAATTATGCCTATTATCACCAGGCCCATTTAAGTATTAAGGATACTAATATCTATTTTAAAAATGCAGTCAGGCGCGATGACTCATGCCTGTAATCCCAGCACTTTGGGAGATGGGGGTGAGAAGATTGCCTGAGCTCAGGGGTTCGAGACAAGTCTGGGCAACATGGTGAGACCTCTCTACAATGAAAATCAAAAAATTAGCTGGGTGTGGTGGCACAAGCCTGTGGTTCCAGCTACTTGGAAGGGTGAAGCAGGAGCATCGTCTGAGCCCAGCAGGCTGCGGTGGCTATGAGCATGCCACAACACTCTAGCCTGGGTGACAGAGTGAGACTCAGACTCAAAAAAAAAAAAAAAGCAAGCTAACAAAAATGGAAAGGAAGAAATAAATTCTCATTCAAGATATTAATGAACTACATTAAAAGTGAAAATAATTATTTTAGCCATAACAAAGTTCAGTAAGTTTGTTTAAGGCTAAAATAAATATACAAAACTCAGCTATATTCCTGAACTTCAGCACTAAATTGGTAGGAAATGTAATTTTTTTTTTTTTTTTTTGAGTCAGGGTCTTACTCTATCACCCAAGCTGTAGTGCAGTGGCACAATCATGGCTTACCACAGACTCACACTCCTAGACTCAAGCAATCCTTCAGCCTTGGCTCTGCTGAATAGCTGGGACACTTGGCTAATTTTTTTTATTTTTTATAGAGATGTGGTCTCACTGTGTTGCCCAGACTGATCTCAAATTCCAAGCTGCAAGTCATCCTCCTGCCTTGGCCTCCCAAAGTACTGAGATTACAGGTTGAGCCATTATACCTAGACAGAAAATATAAATTTTTTTTTTTTTTTTTTTTAGTCAATATCTCACTCTGTTGCCTTGGCAGGAGTGCAGTGGCACAATCGCAGCTCACGGCAGCTTCAACCTCCTGGCCTCAGGCAATTCTTCTACCTCAGCCTCCAGAATAACTGAGAACACAGGTACGTGCTATGATGCCAGCTAATTTTCTTTATTTTTTAATTAATTTTTGATTTTCTGTAGAGACAAGATCTTGCTATGTTACTCAGGCTGGTCTCAAACTCCTGTCCTCAAGTGATCTTCTCACCTCAGCCTCTCAAATTGTTGGGATTACAGGTGTGAGCCACCCTGCACAACAGGAAATGTAATTAAAAGTAAAAAAAAAAAAAAAAAAAAAAAAGACATTACATTTGTAATAGCAAGGAAAAATATAGAATAAGTGAGAATAAAGGTAGTGAAATATGTGCCAAAACACAGTGGAGAAAATTATAAAACTTTTTGAAAGACATAAAGATTAATATATTATTAACTAAAATTCAGATTTTGTTCAGATGTTCTTAGTTTTTACCTAATACTCTTTTTCTGTTCCAGGATTCCAGGTAGGATCCTGTAAAACATTTAGTCATCATGTCTCCTTAGGATCTCTTTGACTGTGATGGTTTCCCAGTTTCCTTGATTTTGATAGATCTTGACAGTTTCCATGAGTATTAATCAGGCATTTTGTAGAATGTCTATTTTGGGGGATTTGTGTGTTTTTTTTTTTTTTTTCTCATTGGACTGGGGTTATATATTTCTACTGGTGTGGGTTACTGTTACTAACAACCAAACATAATTGCACTGGATACAGACATCCACAATTAGATATCAGTGGAAACAAGGATACATTTACTAATACAGATGGAGAACCTCCATTACTAAGGTAAGACAGCACTACAACAGCCTGCTAGAACTTAGAATCAACGTTAGCAAAAAGAAGGTGGAGGGAGAACAAGGAATTGATGAGGAAGGACTATGTTTTCTACCACTAAGCAGACAGGAAGCTTGAGGTAAGAACTAACTTCAATTACAAAAAATTGAATAGTAACATCTCTTGCATTACTGAGCTCTGGATCTGAGATGGGCTCTACAAAGATCGCAGCTGAAACCACAGTAATGGCAATGGCAATGAATTAGGCCCAGGGAGCTTACAGTGGAAAAAAAAATGAACCTTAAAGATTTCAAACATTTTTTTGTCAGAGAGAAAGTAGGCAGCCAGCAGATATTAAGAGTGAGAGAGAATTAAAGGAGAACTTCCAAAGAAGACTTTTTGTATTCCTTAGAAAATTATTTACCAACACTTAAGTGCCTTTCATATTGTCAGATTAGTTATTTAACATCATATTTTTATCCCAAAGGGCCATATTTAAAAAACTAAAAACTTCAACTTCTGCATGAATACTATAGGCAGAGATCAAGAGATTTAGACACGCAGACTATTAAAAGGCTAGACTGGGTTTACTGATTTTCATTTACTTCTTGCTCCTTAATCAGTTTGGAGACTTGTGTAAAGTAAGATTTGAAAAGAGAAAAGATTCAACACAGGATAGAATAATGATGCCATTGGAGATTGCTAGAATTGCCTGGGCTCTGACTTGAGATGATCCCTAGCAGTGGTATTGATATAGAGACACGCTATTGTCTGTCCACATTGCCACAATCTCTAGAGAAGGGCAAGTCAACTGTTCAAGTGGACTTGCATGTACCCACATTTCTGAGAGTTAACAAAGAGAGAGGAAGTGACAGCGCTGCACTGTGTGGTCACAACCTAGCTCTTTTTGCCACACCTCACTGTCTTGCGCAGGGCAGCCCCGGTTCTGGTGGTTGCTGCTGGGATTAAACAGCCACCATGTTAAGCAAAAAGGCAAAGACCAAGACCACCAAGAAGCTTCCTCAGTGCGCAACACCCAATGTATCTGCCAGGTTTGACCAGTCACAGATTCAGGATTTCAAAGAGGCCTTCTATATGATTGCTCAGAACAGAGATGGTTTCATCAACAAGGAAGATTTACATGATATGCTCGCTTATCTAGGGAAGAATCCCATTGATGCCTCTCTTGATGCCACGATGAATGAGGCCCCAGGACCCATCAGCTTCACCATGTTTGGTGAGAAGTTAAATGACGGATCCTGAAGACGTCATCAGAAATGCTTTTGCTTGCTTTGATGAAGAAGCAACAGGCATCATCCAGGAAGATTACCTGAGAGAGCTGCTGACAACCATGGGGAGTTGATTCACAGATGAGGAAGTGGACAAGCCGTACAGAGAAGCATCTATCGACAAAAACGGGAGTTTCAATTACATCGAGTTCACACGCATTCTTAAACATGGAGCAAAAGACAAAGATGACTAAAAGAACTTAATCTAAAATCTTCCAGTTGTTTTCTTACTCTTTTTTTTTTTTCGGACACTTCCCCTGCCCTTATAGAACCTGTTGCATACAACTTAGTTTCACAGCTTTTTTTTTTTTTTTTGGCATATTTATTCCAGACCTTTCTGCCACCTAGCACTTGTATACTCAGACTGGAAATGGGGATGAGGTTGTAAATTGTATTGAAAAAGAGATCACAAATAAAAATAAACAAATGCTAAAGCCCAGGAAAATATATTCGTATTTCTGGTTTTGCTGAATTTTTATATTTTTATATAATAAAAATGTTATTTTGGAAAAAAAAAGGGCGGGGGGAGGAGGATTCCCTTATCTCTAATATACTCCCAGTAAATAATTTCAAAGAATTCTTAACTTTCCTGTAGATTGTGCCCAATTAACTGAGAGATGTAAATCCCCATTTACTCCCTTTTCTTAGTAGTCATAATATAGTATCAAGGTAATCGTAGGTCTTGTGATTTGTGTAACATTTGTATCAATGTAATCATAAGTCTTAACGATTTGTGTAACTTTTGCATATAACAACACATAGGAACGTATGATGTCTTAGGCCTTGTTAGCTCCCTTTATGACAATGCTTCTGCTGGATGTTACTGATAAGAAGCTGTAAGATATCTCTGGTAACCAGTGCCAGAAAATGTGGACCACAAAAGTCATTATTGACAAAATGCGGCTGTAACTTCTATGCAATGCTCTGCCAGTCGTGTAGTCAATGTATAGTTACTAACAACCCTGAATTTATTTTTTAATTTATTTTTTGAGTTGGAGTCTCACTCTGTTGCCCAGGCTGGAGTGGGGTGGCACGCTCACAGCCACTGCAGCCTCGACATACTGGGCTCAGGCGATCCTTCCACCTCAGCCTTCCAAGTAGCTGGAACCACAGGCATGTGCCACCATGCCCAGTTAATTTTTTTGGTTTATTGTAGAAATGAGTTCTCGCCATGTTGTAGGCTGGTCTCGAACCCCTGAGCTCAGGCAATCCTCTCACCTCTGCATCCTAAAGTGCTGGGATTACAGGCTTGAGTCACCGCGCCTGGCTATTTTATTTTTTATTTTTATTTTTGAGTCGGAGCTCACTCTGTTGCTCAGGCTGGAGTGTAGTGGCACGCTACAACCCTGAATGTATAAAAGCGGACTGTAAAACTTGAAGGGAGAGCAGAACCATTTAAGAAAGACCAAGAGCCAGGTTCCGCTCCCTAGATTCGAATTCAAAAATAAACTTCTTTCTACCAATTCCCTGCCTCTTGATTTATTGGTGTGGAGGGTTAGCAGCCGAGCATTACTCGGACTGTAACAGTATAAGGCTTGCAACAAACTTACGCACAATGTCACATTCTTCATCCATGCCTCCTACGTGGTTACGCGCATACTCAAAAGACCCTCATGAGAGTACCATGCAGTTAAGCAATATGTAGAGAAGAGGGGTTTTCCATTCTAAACGGTTTTCTCAGTGGTGGTTAGTTATTGGGCCACCAGATGGTATCAATTTCTCTATTTGAACTTCCTATTAATTTCAGGTACCAGCTGCACAAGGTCCTACCTAACTTTTGGCCGGGATATAATAATCATAATACTTTATTTCAGCTGTTATCAGTAGCTGCTAGTTTAATTCTTCATGATTTTAGATCCAGAAAGAAAGAATAAGAAATCATGAGTCAACCCAGTGGTATTTGGGATTATCTTTACTAATATTAGTGACCATAGCAAATGCTTTACTTTATAATCCTTTGGGGATTTCTTGATTTTTTTTTTTTAATACCAGTTTTAGGCTGTGTGTCAATTTCTTGTCCATAGCTGTTTTTATACTGTTTGTACCTATGCCCTAAAATGACATGAGTGGCCTACTTAAATATAAAAAATATGTATCATGGGAAATTAGAGAAATATTACCCAAATAAAAGGGCACATTAAATATTTTCAGATTATTTTATTCCTAACCCAGAAAAAATGTGACAGTTTAAAATACAAAGGGGCAACTCCTTCAAGTCCCCTTCCACTGTGGGAACTTTTCTGTCCTCTCAATAAATCCTGCTTTCTCACTTAAAAAACCCCAAAAAGGCAAAAACAAGAAAATACCCAGGCGCGGTGGCTCACACCTATAGTCCCAGCACTTTGGGAGGCTGAGGTGAGAGGCTTGCCTGAGTCTGTGGGTTCGAGGCCAGCCTGGGCAACTTGGCAAGACCACATCTCTACAATAAATTACAAAACAAAAAATTAGCCGAACATGGTGGCACATGCCTGTAGTTCCAGTTACTTGGAAGGCTGAGGCGGAAGGATTGCCTGAGCACAGCAGGTTGAGGCTGCGGTGGCAGGGAGCCAGACATTGCCCCAACAGAGTGAGATGCCAACTCAAAACAGATAAAAAACAAAGAAATTAATGCTATGATGGCTTTTTTGACTTAGGTAAAGTCAACAATTCCTGACCATTCTGTAATTTTTCCCCTCACATTTACTTAATTATCACTCCTCTTCCCCTTATACAAATGGCAAAATTTGGACTATAAATTAATAGAATTCTGGGCCGGGCGCAGTGGCTCATGCCTATAATCCCAACACTTTGGGAGGCCAAGGTGAGAGGATTGCCTGAGCCCATGGGTTTGAGACCAGCCCAGGCAACTTGGCAAGATCTCATCTCTATAATAAATAATAATAATAATAAATTAGCCAGGTGTGGTGGCATGCGTCTGTAGTTCCAGTTACTTGGAAGGCTGAGGTGGAAGAACCGCTTGGGCCTAGCAGGTCGAGGCTGCGGTGGCCGTGAGCATGCCACTGCACTCCAGCCTGGGTGATAGAGTGAGACTCCAACTCAAAAAAAAAAAAAAAAAAAAGAATTCTGATAAACATGAATGAAATGAGCCCTGCTAAACACAAAGTACAACAAAATCTTATATAACAAACCATTAATATGGGCTATGCATTGTTCCCGTCTATCAGCATTTAGAATTGTTCATAATAATTCAGAATTATTCTGAATTTCTTGAAGAAAGTAAAAATTATATTTTGGGACTGTAGAGTTTTGCAAACTTCTGCAAATGAAGAAAATGACAAGATATGAATTCTGACTTAGACCACGGACTAAACCTGAACTTTTTCTCTTACCCAAATCATAAGAGACTTGGGGAATCACTGCTTGATAAGGAATCGCCAAACAGGGTCTTATTATACGATTGTTCTCCAACCTGATTCTGACAGAACATCACATAACAAAGAAGGAAATCAAAGTATCTTATACTGGAAAGCCATCTTTTGTGGATTACCCAGGGAGTCTTATAAGACAATTGTCTTTCCTCTATGAAGCCTGTCACTTTTAGGACTTAATCATCTTATCAAAATACCTGAAGTCTTTCCTCCTTTTGTCTCAGCAAAAACACCTTCACTTCATCTACATATCAACAGATCTGGAGTTCTCCAACCCCTTATCTTTTTTTTTTTTTCTTTTTAGTTGGAATCTCACTCCTATCACATAGGCTGGAGGGCAGTGGCATGCTCACAGCCAACGCAGCCTCGACCTGCTGGGCTCAGGCGATCCTTCTGCCTCAGCCATCCAAGTACCTGGAACTATAGGCATGCGCCACCATGCCCGGCTAGTTTTTGTGATTTACTGTAGGAAGAGGTCTCACCAAGTTGCCCAGACTGGTCTCGAACCTGTGGGCTCAGGTAATCCTCTCACCTTGGCCTTCCAAAGTGCTGGGATTACAGGCTGAGTCACCGTGCCTGGTCTAACCCCTTATTTTAACAAAGCATCTCCTCTACTGATTTCCCAAATCCTTAGATAAGAACTGCAAAATTACCAGACAAGGAAACTTTGAATCCCTGGAAATGTCTCTCCTTCCTGGGCCAAACCAATGAAAATATCACATGTATTGATTTATGGTTTCTAGTGTGTATATAACAAAACCACTGTTCTGTCACAGTGGGCATATGTTCTCAGGACCTGCGTACCCAGACTTAAGTCAGCCTCAAGAATAAGCCACCGTAAATATTTTACACAGTTTGGCATCTTTTTGCCAACAGACTGGGTGCTTACTATTTTCCCCAGCCTCTTTTATGGGGGCTTTATTTGGTGAAGGTCTTCCTGTAATCATGGAACTATAAAACTCATCTGTCATGAATATAAAAAGGCATGATTTTTTTTTTTTTGAGTCGGGGTCTCACTCTCTCTCCTAGGCTGAAGTGCCCTGGCACTATAACCACAACCATGGCTCAGCAGCTTCCATCTCCTGGGCTCAGACGATCCTTCTCCCTCAGCCTCCCGAGTAGCTGAGACTACAGGCGCGTGCCAGTACGGGCGGCTAATTTATTTTTTGTAAAGGGGAAGTTTCGCTATGTTGTTCATGCTGGTCTCAAACAACCTGCCTACCTCGTCTCCTAAAGTAGTGGGATTACAGGTGTGAACCACCACGCCCCACAATTAATTCATAGTACAGGAGGTCCTAATTCGTTTTATTTTTCCCCTTTCTTCACTTCCATCCAGCGGTGCTACTGGTCAACGCTTAGCTAAGCAGGTTTCGAGAGGTCAGCCTGGAGGCCGGACGTTATTGGTGGGCTTCAAAGATGGCCAGACCACACATAGGACAGGAAATGGCTTATGAACAGCCAGCGTGTACAAATCACAGCGAGAGAATTCCAGATCCGGAGCCCAAGCCTCATCTGATGAGATCCCTTCAGGCCTCGACATGTGCTGCCTCGCTCGGGCGAGGCGGTCCGGCCCCGACGTCCAGCCTCTAGTGGAATCCGCGGGAGACAAGCGCTGTCATTTGTAGTTTAGGATTTAGGCTGGAGTGAGCGCGTCTACTCCCAGGCGTCTGGAGGCCGAGTTCTGGGTCGGATCTCGCTGAGACTTGTTGCAGAAGAAATCGGCAGCTGGGCTTCCCTGGGGGAAGGCTGACGTCTCCGGGCCTCCCCAGCCACCA